AACCGTTGTAGTTACTAAGAGCTTTATAGTTATATTTTACATTTGAGTTTAGGGGAAACATGTATTGCACTGTTATTACAATGATTTTAAAATGTGTTCTCGGTTTTTTAGGCAACCCATGTATGTTTTATGTTCTTTTTTTTTTCTTTCTTTCTTATTTTGGTTTATTAGCTTGGCAAGATGCTTTTTAAAAAAATATATATTGTCAATAAGTTCTTGAAAAGAACAATTTAAATCTGAAAACAAGTTTTAATATATTTTTTTAAATTATATTTAGTAAAAAATGTAAGCAATACAGTGGGGTTTTTTATTAAACTGAACTGTTTGGATGTAACATTTGTACGCTTCCTTTTTATGCAATCTGAAAGGTGAGCTGGAAAGGATTTCTGAAAACTTGGGTTTGTGTCCTTTTAAAGTTCTTCCATATATACAACACAACCCTCAAAGTTTGCTTGATTTTACAATAAAAATGACAAGAATGTAAATTCATTCTCTGGTTCCATAGAAAGGTGCCTTGGGAGTGGAAAAAGCTCATGGATTTTCATTGGGAACTCTCCTGTGGTATAATTAATGTTCTTTTTTTAAACAGTAACAGAACAAGTAAAAATGCTTTAAATTCATCCATATTTACATATGGTGTTCAGAGTGTTTCTGACAGAAGTGTAGTCTACATATACTACACCCACAGTTCCCTCAGGTGCTTTCTGACCTCTTTTACAAAAGAATTTACACTAAAGTTTTTGCCATCTTACATCCACACCGATTCTTGTATTTTAATTTCTCTGGTAGCTCAAAAAAAAAGTTAATTGTAACAGGATGACTCTTTATACAAATTATCCTGATGAAAGTTTCATCTGACAGCATCTCTGGCGTGATTTCTCTTTCCAGCAGCAGATATCCACAGAAGCCTTTGCTGTACCTATATTGGCCTGGCTTGTTACTTCGGTGTTTTCCAATCATCCCCCGTTTCTTTTTTGCATAAAATGTTAGCACACATCCAAACCCATGAATTTGTGGTAGTCACATAGACCAACTTTGATATTAAAAGACCCTGAATTTTTGTTCTCCTCAGGAACAAAAGCAAGTCTAATCTCTACTTCCTAGTAATCACCGGAAGGCAAGAGCAAACGCAAGAGAGAGGGTGCTCCTGCAGTACGTCAGGTTTATGTCAAAGCTGATCTAAATTATAACAGAAGTACAAAAGTTTGCTAAACAAAACCTCTAGCAATGTAATGAGACGCTGATCTATAGTTTTCCTCAAGAGGCCACTAGAGCACTTCCTTTATGTCAGAGGGCTTGTTAATAGCTTGCCATGAGACAGACGTGCCATCAGGAACTAAATGGATGTCCAAGAATCCCAACCAGGAGCATGTCCTGAACAGCCAAGATCTCTTCAGCTCAGTTTACAGCCAGCTGGAAATACTACTAAATAGCCAGAACATGACAGCATTGAAGAGGAGGCCTTATCCCAGAAGTGTTTGTATATATATATTTCATAGTTTGTCCTACTAGCATCTATTCAGTCATTGGCCACATGAGATTCTTAGAGTGGGGAAGAGCTGTATTTGTCCTTAGACTTGTCCATTTGGTTTTTTTTGCCCTCGTGGCATTTTTTAGACAAAGGTAATGTAGAAATTGAAGATGCTTTAAAACACCAAGCCCCACAAAATTCTCACACCACAGACCAGCTGCTTTTCCACCTTCATAGCTGAAGGCTCTAGCTTCTGTCCTTTTTTGTGCCTTCGCAGCATTGTGCAACAGCATGAAAAAAATTGAAATGCACTAAAATGAAGAAGCAACTTTTGAAAAGTCACTAGGTGCAATTGTGGATAACACTTAGGTTTCTGTCCTGACTTCCTTAGAATCTGAGTGGTTTTAACAACCTAAAGTTACAGGGGCAATTGTAGATCTTATATAGCTCCAGTAATTTCTTTAAGAAAAATGTCATACTTAAAGAATAAAATTGTGCCTCAAATCTATAGGCTGACTCATTTTTCTCCCACTGCCTCTTGAGTGCACAGGGTACTAGGAACTTCCTTTCACTAATTGCATCTTCAAGGGCAGATTTCTCTGTGTTCATCTCATGTTTTAGAGGGATGAAACATCTACAGTTTCATATTTCTTTGAACCTCTAACCATATTTATTGTGCACTTTGAGTTGTCTGTCCTGTTTAAGATTTGGTTGCAATGTTGAGCCAAGTAATTTAAAATACTACAATTGAGCAGCTGTACTTATGATCCCTTTAACAATATTCATTTCTTTAAAATCAATTCACCAAGTATATGCTATATTAATCTAGTATTTTATTAATTTGCCTTTCCTACATCCTGCTGTAACCATTGTAATACTTCCCTCATTTAGTCTGGTAGTGCTGCTGGACAGTAGCATAATCTTCAGCTTACTGACACTTACTGACACATTTAGATAGTTATTATCGGTTTGCTGTTCTCTAAATGCGCCTTTTTTCTACTTTAGCAGAGTCATCAATATGTTCAAGACATATATTTGAAAGGTGGGGAACTAGTGGAAGAGTTGCAACTTTCTGAAGACACAAACCTTATTATACTTTTCTTGTTGCATATCTGGAAAGTAATAAAGGGTATGTGTGGCTTCATTTATTTTGGTTTTTTTTAAACTTTTGCCTATGCTGTGAAGTATGGATAATTTTCAGTGGCCTAGACGAATTCACTATAATAATAATTATTACTGATTTTTAACTGTATGAACTCTTAATTCAAAATAGTATAGAACATGAAAAAATATACCAAAACTAAGACTGTATTGATACCAAAAAATAATTTTAATTGCACTTAAGTGAGTTCATACTCCATTTGCATAGGCTCAAAGTATTACTCAAATTATCAGTTGCTACTTGAAGTGAAGTTTCAAGGGTAACTTTTCAGTAACTGTGCCAGATTACGCAGATAAAAGCAGTCGATAGCACTAAATATCTAAAAATGTTTTTAGAGACTAGGATGAGCATTTTATCTGTGAGGAGCAGAGTCTGTTAAGTGAAGGAGCCCTTTAAGTTCAGAATGCTCGAGAAGTAAGATCTGAAATTATTTGCTTAATTCTAGAAGGTAACAATTTCTGCAAAGCAAGATAAGGAAAACATTTTAAAGTAGAATAGAAGGCAATTTAAAGTTTGAGAATTTCAAGTGGCATTGGAGCAAATCAGATTATTGAAATGCAATTTGTTTGCTTTTTTTCTTCTTGTCTCCTCTCTATAGGAACCTCAGCCACACTTCATCAAAATGCAACGGAGTCTATTACATACTGCATCTCAGCTGGCGCATGGGACATGTTTGGGTTTTCCTCGCACTAGTATCTTTCAGTGCTTAAACAGACCATCAGTGTTGTCAAATGTTGGATGCAAAGTGATTTTGGCACTAGACCCTCCTAAACGATGTCTTCATGCAGGTACAGCACGCTTTGCCTCAAAGAAAAGTGCTTTTTCATCACAGCCAGCAGACACTCTTCACAAAGTACCAGATGAGAGAAATCCTTTGACTTCGGCCGCTGATACACCCAAGCAGAGCCCTGTAGAGTCAGGTTCTTCAGATCCTGATCCCTTACAAGACAAATCAATTAGTCTCGTCCAGAGATTCAAGAAAACATTTAAACAGTATGGAAAAGTCATGATTCCAGTGCATCTTCTGACTTCCACTGTATGGTTTGGATCCTTTTACTACGCAGCCATGAAGTAAGTTGATATTTTGTTGCAGTGCCCAATACTGCTGTTGAACTGAGACTGACTTTCACAGGTGAAAGGACATATAAGTTTTTATTACATGTTAAAAAGTGTCCATATGTGCAATAGGGAAATGAGGCTACATTCTTAACTGAAACATAAGATTTGTATCGAAAGTAATAGGATTCATGAGAGTGTCACATATGGACTGTTATCATGTAGTTATTGCTGTGTACCAGATACCTTGCTAACATTTGAAGGAATGCTCGTCTGCCCAAAATATGCATAGATGTAAACAGCATTGAAATTATTAGTAACCTCTCACAAGGTAAAGGTAAGGATTTTGAATCCTGATTACGAATTGCAAGGTGAGATCTTTATAGACTCGTTCTTTTATTGCCTTTGGACTTGAGGGGTATTGCACTACTTCCTCCCCTATTCTTTCCCAAACCTCCCTCATCGTTGGACTTTCATGTCATTCCACTCGCTCTGAGTTCCTTGCAAGCCTTGTGTATTTTTTCCTTCTTTATTTGTTTCCTGTCTTTCCTGACTTCCACTGAAAAAATTGCTACTGTAGGCCAGACTTTTTAATTGGAAATTAAATATTTGTGTATCTAAAAAAACCCTATAAATTAAGTATTCTAATTTTAGTTTCTTTCAGCTATAGCATGCACCAGATACTGTTCTGGAAAACGGCATTTATTAGAAAAAACTACTATATCAGCTATGAGCTGTTAGTTCAGATGAAAGAGGTTTTATCTAGCTGCAAATGGTTTGCTAAATATGAGTAAATGTTCATCTCTGGATTGCTAGTGTTGTATATTTAATAATAGAAAGCATGAAACAACAACAGTTTGTGGCAGCAAGGATGGGGCCTTACCGCACAAGTGTTTGTTTTAGTTACTCTAACCAGCTGGCATAATTGCCCTTTCTAGGAGCTATAGATCCAAATGTCATTCTAAATTTAGCTCATGTCAGAGGAATAAAGGTCTTGAGCTATAAAAATATTTTCTTTGGATGAATCCAGGTTGATGCTTGCATCTAGACATTTCAGATTGAGTGAAGATTACTTTTCTTGGAACACTTAAGTTAGCTGCTAAAATGGGTATTTGACAGATTAAAACAACTGAAATATTTATCTAGAAACTAATTATAACAAAGCTTCAGTTTGTCATGCCACAGGAGCAGCACCCTCTTGAAGTGGAAAAATAACTTTCAGAATGACTGCTCATGATACAAGACTAAACAGTGGTGATATATGAAATCAGCAGTTTATTATATAAAGACAGTTAATGCTGTCTTTCAGATCTTACTGGGTCTCCATTTTCTACTCTGGGGGAAAGGCCTTCAGATTGTAGGTTCTGGTAACTATTAGTAAATTACTGCCTGTTATTGTTCCTGATGCTAAAGTGATCACATGCACAGAAGAATGATTAAAATACTAGGTAGAAATGAGTAATGACACTAATAACGCATCTCTAAATATTGGAAAGTCAGGTCTTCTATACCTGCTTGTAGCTTTCTACTGTAATGTAAAGATGGGCTGTCTTTTTCTCTTTGGTGCTGATGTTAGCTTCCCCGGTTTTCAAATAGAAAGAAATTGTGATAGGAGCTCCCTCCACCCATCTTGTCACCTTATATTGACAAGGTAGATCAACTGGGCACGAAACCCCTGAACTCTTGTCCATATAACATGTTGCTTCATTTTCTTATGCCACATTCCATTTGTTGGATGTATTTTAAAGTGAATGGAGGACAGTGAAGTCTGGATTCTGTGCTTCTGGGCATGCTGCACATTAGTGTGAAATTTTAAAAAGAAAAAAAAATAATTTTAGGCAAAACAGAATGTGAAATTGAACCTGCACAACTGGAGCCTGAGTAGCTGTCTTAGCACTATTGTATCTACTTTGCTTCAAACATAATAAACTGGGACACAGGTAAATTACTAGCTAATCAGCTGAACAGGGATAATATAAATGGGTCAGCTCTTAGAATGCTGAAAAGAACATTAATTTGCCTATACGTACAGAAATATAAATCCTGTAAGTATATTGCTTATACTTTGCTATCAAATTACAAAGTTTGTATAATAGAGTTAAAGAATGGAAATGGTACTGTAAATCACTGTTCAGTTTTCAAATTGCCTTTTTTTTTTCCTCTTTTAGAGGAGTGAATGTTGTTCCATTCCTAGAACTGATTGGCTTACCAGACAGCATACTAAACATCCTGAAAAATTCTCAGAGTGGAAATGCGCTAACTGCATATGCGTTGTATAAAGTAAGTATAATTATAGTTTGTAAACAAGCTCTAAATCTTGCCTGGTGAGCTAAACAGGGTTTATTTGTTTACAGCAGAAAGAATTAATGCTGTTATCTCTCTTTGATAGTTAACACATACTTGAGCATTTGTTTTTGTAGTAAAAATAGTGACTTGCAAGTTGATATCAGCTCTGTATTCCTTTAAGGAGTCTATCTGTATTTCTAGTTTGCTGCAGAACTATTGTCTGCCCTCAGAGATTTAATTACAATTAAGTTATTCCTCTGTATCCCTGACATAATTAACAGGAAGAAAGTCTAAACACCTCATGATTTCCAGATAAAAGTACAGTTATTTTTATCCCAGAGGATTCACTAGTTTGTCTTCCTACCTTAGTTCTCCATCATTGTCAAGTACTTTCATTGTCCGTTTCAATCAACTACTTGCATTCAGGTTTGGGTCTCTCTTTATTGCTTTGTATGTGCACAATCCATGTTTGAGAAACTTGAAACATGTCAGACCATGGAAAAACAAAGTACTGTATTCGCTTCGAATGCCACTCATCTGTTTTGTTTCCAAATGTGATATGCTTTGTATCTGTTACTTAAAGGGGTTATTTTCTCAAACGAGATGTGAAACCACTACTCTGACCAATTATTCCTGTGCCTAAAAGAGACCAATAAACAAATGTGATTAAATACAAAAAATTTTATTATAGCTGGGAGATCTGGCAGTGTTAGAAGAAACTTTCAAGGTGTGGGAACCCTAGAATAGGTTGCAAAGGGAAGATTGTGCAGGCTTTATCTTTGAAGCTCTGAAAGAACAGGTCAGTCTATCAAGAATAATGAACTTGGTTTGTTGTGTCTTGGATTAGCTGACATATTAAGGTCTCTTTTAGTTCTAGTTCTCTATGCGCGGGTCCTAGTTTTTGGGCTGAAAGATGCCTATATTCTTGTGAATTTTAGAATTTCATAGAATTGTAGAATGGTTTAGGTTGGAAGGGACCTTAAAGATCATCTAGTTCCGACCCCCCTGCCATGGGCAGGGACACCTTCCGCTAGACCAGGTTGCTCAAGGCCCCATCCAACCTGGCCTTGAACACTTCCAGGGATGGGGCACCCACAACTTCTCTGGGCAACCTGTGCCAGTCTCACCACCCTCAGAGTAACGAATTTCTTCCTCGTATCTAATCTACATTTACCCTCTTTCAGTTTAAAACGGTTACCCCTTGTCATATCACTACACTCCCTAATAAAGTGTCCCTCCCCATCTTTCCCATAGGCCCCCTTTAAGTACTGCAAGGTCACTATAAGGTCTTCTTGGAGCCTTCTCATCTCCAGGCTGAACAACCCCAACTCTCTCAGCCTGTCTTCATAGGAGAGGTGCTTCAGCCCTCTCATCGTCTTTGTGGCCCTCCTCTGGACTCACTCCAACTGGTCTATGTCCTTCTTATGTTGGGGGCCCCAGAGCTGGACGCAGTACTCTAGGTGGGGTCTCACAAGAGTGGAGTAGAGTGGTGGAATCGCCTCCCTTGACCTGCTGGCCACGCTTCTTTTGGTGCAGTCCAGGATGTGGTTGACTTTCTGGACAGTGGCGCCCAGTGATAGGACGAGGGGTAATGGGCATAAACTTGAACATAGGAAGTTCCATCTTAACATGAGAAGGAACTTCTTTACTTTGAGGGTAGTGGAGCACTGGAACAGGCTGCCCAGAGAGGTGGTGGAGTCTCCCACTCGTGAGACATTCAAAACCCGCCTGGACGCTGTCCTGTGCAACCTGCTGTAGGTGACCCTGCTCTGGCAGGGGGGTTGGACTAGATGATCGCCAGAGGTCCCTTCCAACCCTGACCATTCTGTGATTCTGTGACTGTGAGCGCACACTGCCGGCTCATGCTGAGTTCCTCATCCACCAACACCCCCAAGTTCTTCTCCTCAAGGCTGCTCTCAATCCATTCTCTACCCAGCCTGTATTTGTGCTTGGGATTGCCCTGACCCACGTGCAGGACCTTGTACTTGGTCTTGTTGAACTTCATGAGGTTTGCACAGGCCCACCTCTCCAGCCTGTCCAGGTCTGTCTGTATGGCATTCCTTCATTCCAGCATGTCAACCATGCCACATGGCTTGGTGTTATCAGCAAACTTGCTGAAGGTGCACTCAATCCCAACATCCACGTTGCCGACAAAGATGTTAAACAGCACTGGTCTCAGTACCGACGCCTGAGGAACCCCGCTTGTCACTGGTCACTACTTCGACATCAAGCCGTTGACCGCAACTCTTTAAGTGTAGCCATCCAGCCAATTCCTTATCCACCGAGTGGTCCATCCGTCAAATCCATGTCTTTCCAATTTAGAGACAAGGGTGTCGTGCAGGACAATGTCAAACGCTTAGCACAAGTCCGGGTAGATGATGTCAGTTGCAATTTAAAGCATATCTTTTTGTCAATATTTCCTCTTTGCTTATATGGCTCAGTGTTCACATACTGTCTGTTCTGAATTGTGTTCTGAGATGCCTAATGCTTGTCCCACAAGCTGCACAGGGAGGGTTATTTTTTTATATGGAAATCTAATGCCTGTGCTGGTTTTGTCAAAAGGATACTTAAAGTAAAATGTATGCGTTTTGGGGGGATGCACTGTAAATTGCCTTATTTCCTTATAAATTGAAGATCTTTTTAGTATCTGACACTGACCAAAATAAATTCTCAATATTAAAAATATCTTTTGCTAGATAATACTGTCCTGTTTTATTGATATGGTGTGTTCTTTGGTTTCTTTAAGATTGCAACTCCTGCCAGATACACTGTGACTTTGGGGGGAACGTCCATCACTGTTAAATATCTACGTAAGAATGGCTACATGTCCACACCACCACCAGTAAAGGAATATCTACAAGATAGGATGGAGGAAACAAAGGATAAAATTACAGAGAAGATGGAGGAAACAAAGGATAAAATTACAGAGAAGATGGAGGAAACAAAGGATAAAATTACAGAGAAGATACAAGAAACCAAAGATAAAGTTTCATTTAAAAAAATAAAAGACTAGGAGAGATGCTTAATTTTTGGATATATCAAACTTAGCACTTTAACCCTTTGTGAGGCTGGATATACAAAGTGCACTTCTGAGCTTTTTTTATTTTGCCTTTTTTTTTTCCCCTTGTCTGGAGACCACAATTGCTCTGTGGATTTAAAAATTCTGAATATTCACCAAGGTTAAAGTTACCTGGGGGAGAGGTTGTGACAAAATTTCAATTTACAGAAGGAAAAGTTGAATATCAGATTAGAAGTACATGTGTCCATTGGTAATAGTGTTAGTAGTCACTCTTCCCTCTTTTTTTTTTTTTTTTATTTCCCCCCACCTCAAAATGAAGATGGCTTCTTCCAAAAGCTACTACTTTATTCTTTCCATCGCAGTGCACAGCCATTATTCCATTAGACTGAATCTTCCATTAAATGAAAATGAAGATTTCTCTACTGGGAAAGGTGACATATTTTGATTTTCAGAGTATGTGGACCCAGGCCTCTTTAATCGTGATCATCTCTCAACTTGGAGACAGCCTGTTATCACTGATACTGCACATGAAGGAATCAATGGATTAGCTACTTGGTCTGAATGAATTATAGTGGCTACATTGACTTCAGCTGAGCTGTGATAGTTTACAGGTTGAGACTACAAATCTTCTTTCTTGGACCGTGTATCTTTTCAGAAGTCTCAACTGAGAGCTATAGGGAGATGATTTAATTACAGCAGACATACTGTCAAGTATACTTTTGTTTCCTAAAGTTGATTTACAGTAGAAAGTTATTAAGTGAACTTAATCAATATTGTATATTAAAAACTAGGATTTTTTTATTATGTTAAAGTTTACAAAACTGTTCTATTTCATTTTCAGAACAAAAAACAATCTGAAAGATAAGTTTACTTGAGAAATTGGTATACTGAGGGGCTTTTTACATACATGCTAAGTTACAAGTTAAACCCAAAAGTTCCTCCTCCTATTCAGGAATCCCTCAGACTGCAGTAGAACAATTTAACTAAAATAAGCATAATTTCTGCGACAGCGATCACAGTCTACCAAACTTTTTTCCCCCCTAGATTTTGTTAGGTCAAGCAAATACTTACTCATAGCTGAAAGCTGAGATGCTGTCTCAGAGGTGTTGTAAAGGACTAAAGTTGAAACTGTTCTATTTGACTGCACCGGCAAACTTTTCTCATGGTTTTATTCAAACGTAGGCTAAATTGAAGTGTTTTTTTCATATTTCTATTGCAGATCTCACTTTGTAGCAACTCTCTGCTTGTGTATCTTGTTTAACAAAGGTGTGTTGTTGCAGAGGGATATGGGGAAGCAACAGAGTTGGACCCTGAGCACTGTAATTGACTATAGTTAAAAGAATATAGCGATAAAGTGTCAGTTCTGCCTCACTCCTATGTTTTCAGTCAAGTCACTGAGGACCTCACTGTGTTTAAGTGAGTTGAACTTCATTAACTTAATTGTGCAGGATTGATTACATACTTCCTTGCCTCTGTCCACATGTCAAATAGTAACTGCAATCTAATGCCTACCTCACAGGGATGTTGTGAGGAATATCATTGTATATTCAGTGCCCTGAAGATGTAAAGTCCCATGTTTCTGATAAATATTATTAAAAAATAATTCTGTGAAATAATCTGCTGAGATGAGCGCTACTGTAGGATTGGAGTTAATCATAAAATCATAGAATGGTTTGGGTCAGAAGGGACCTTAAAGATCATCTAGTTCCAAGCCCCATCCAGCCTGGCCTTGAACACTAGATGGGTTTCTTTTTTTTCTTTTTTAGTGTACTTTTCCTTGCTGTCCCTTGCACACATTCTTCTGATGTTGGCATTTGTTCTGATTTTCCATTTTTGCAGGCAGCGTTGCCTGTGTCCTGCAGTACCCTGCAAAGCCCAGTCTACCACAATAATACTACATGATCATCCTCTCAGTCTGGGGCCAGATGTGGGAACCTCTTGGTGCAGCTCACAGGGTCCATCTCTTCTTTGCACACAGCAGGGGGTGCACAGGGGCACCTTGGTGTCCTAGGATGTGGCTGTAGCCCCCAGGCATGTTAGAACTTGTTCATTGCACACCCTTTTGGTACCCCCATCCTCTTGTCTTTCCACATCACTTACATGATCCATCACGACCAATGCTAAGTACAAAAGATCTCCCGTCTTAATGACATGCAGTAGACTGTTCTGTGTGACCATTTCTGCATGTCCAGAAACAGCTTATAGTGGCTATTGGCAAGTGTCTCATCCATCTACTGTTGGGTCAGTTTTACAGCATGAACAGCCTCGAGGAGTTTCTGGGACAGCCGTGTCCTTTACCCAGGGTGTCAATTAACAAAGCACACAATTATGTGGCTTGATCTATACAGAGCAGGAAGGGCAATCTTCAAGACTTTGAAAACCTGACCTGGAGAGCTTTTGTGACAATTAGTCAAATGCTTTGTTGTACGGGTGACCTTGTCTCAAGTCGACCTCATCTGGAATGAGTGCATTGCCTCATTAGTGTGGAGACCAGCTGATGCATTCCTGGGCCACCCAGGGAATGAACAATGTTAGTCCACTGGGTGCCCAGCATGTACCCAGCTACACTGCAATTTTAACTGTAGGATAAAGTTGACTTTCATCTTTGTATCTCACTTACAAATTCATTTCCATAGTTCTTGCCACAATACTAGGGTGCAGTTCTCGTTACAGATGGGTTGCTGTGGCTGGAAGCCAGTGTCCATCCCCCTTCAGTAAAACAGTGCTCACGGGCTATACATATCCGTCAAGCTAGGGGGCTCCTGGGGACAACACAGGGTCTATTACTGGTGCCCAAGCCAGCACAGTTGGCACACTCCCATGTTGCAACAGTGTCCCTCAAGGTGGAGCAGCATCAATGGGTACCTTTGGCAGCACAGAAGGGACAGAGGAGCAGGTGCCATGGCCTGGGAAAACAGTTTGGCCGCAGCACGTAGAGCTGGCACTGAGGCAGGCAACAAGTGACCTGACCAAAGGACTACCAAGCAGAGCTCCCTGAACTCTCCCCAGCAGAGTGCCAAGAGTCCTTGGTGAGTTGAAAACCCCAGGCAGACACCCAGGAGCACCTTCCACTGCCCACAGGACCACTTAGTCAATGCTATCAGGGGCTGCTTTCTTTCCCGGCAGCTTAGCATCCTCATGGGAAAGGGCTGTCCCTTTACCTGCCCTTTAGGCCCTCAAGGGTGTGGGTGCCTCCACCTCTTTGCAAAACCTTCAGAAATCTGGTAAGACCAGGACTAAAGCATCTTCCACCACACAGGCAGCAGAGAAAGTGTTGCTTTGGTGACTTTCCCACTTCTGCCTGCTCCCCAACTCACACAACACCACTGCAGGACATCTCTTTGTCTGCTTCTGCTATAGGTACATACATGAAGGCATCAAATGCCTGCCAGAGCAGAAACTGGAAATGAAGTTGCAGCATGAGCAGAAGCTGGAAAAAACGTTGCAGCCCAAGCAAAAGTTGAAGTAGCACCCAAACAGGACCTGGAGTTAAAGTAAGTCTGAGATGGGGCTAGAGCCAGAGTCACATCGCAGGATGGAGCTAGAGACACAGTAACAGCCTGAAAAGGAGCTAGAGCAGAAGTAGTGGTTCAAGATGGGGCTGAAGATGTGGTCTGTGTAAGGGCCCAAGCCAAGTGACTGCTCAAGCAGGAGTTCAAGCCAAAGTCATGGCCCAAGGTGACACCAGAGCTGAAGTAGCAGCCTGAGCAAGAGCTGTAGGCAAAGTCTGGCTGGAGCCAAATATTGAGCGCCTGAGATGAGGCCGGAGGCGAAATAATGCGCAAATGAGGACCGAAGCCAAAGATAAGAGTCAGTAAGGGGCAGGAGCCGAAGTTTCAGCCAAAGCACTGTTCAGAGTCAAAGTCACAGATTAAGATGGGGCTGGAGCCCATAGCTCAATAGCAACCTGAGCTGGGACCAGAGCTGAAATTGCTGCCCAAGATGGGGTAGGAGTTGCAGTATCATCCCAATAGCTATACAAAGTCAAGGCTTGATTTGGTGTCAGTGCCAGAGCTGCAGCCTGAGCATGGACCAGAGCCAAAGCTGCTGCCTGATATCAGGCAGGACCCGAAGTCACAGGCCAAGATAGCACCAGAACAGAAGTAAAGGGCCAGGCAGGAGCTGAAGTTATGCAAGCCCAAGTAGAGGTAGAGGCTGGAGCTGGGGTCACAGCCCAGTATCAGGCTGGAGACAACGTAGCAGATATGGCTGTGGCCAGAGCTGAAGTCACAGCCCAATAATGGGCTGGAGCCTAAGTCGTGACCCAATATCAGGCCAGAGCAAAAGTCATGGCTCAAGAGGGGGCTGGAGCTGAAGTCATCACCCAAAGTAACAGCCCAATACCTGATTGCAGCCAAAGTAGCAGCCCAAGAGGGCACCAGAGCTGAAGTTGCAGCCCCAGATGCAATGAAATGGGGCTGGACCTGAAATTGCAACCTGAAATCGGGACCGCACTGAAGTGGAAGTCCAAGTAGGGCTGGAGCCAAAAGCAGGGCCCATGATCGGGTCAGAGCCAAAGTCACAGCCCAAGGTCTGTCCAGAGCTGAAATCACTGCCCAAGATGGGGCCAGAGTCAAAATCACAGCCCAATATTAGGCTGGATCTAAAAGTTGTGACCCAAGATAGGTCTGGAGCCCAAGTAGCAGCCTGAGATAGAGCTGAGTCAAAGTAATAGCCTGAACAGGGACCAGAGGTAAAGTCGCGAAGAGGTAAATAGGTAAATAGTGGGTAATAGAGTGCAATAGAGGTAAATAGTGGCCAGAGCTGCCTAAGCATGGACCAGAGCTGAATTTGGGTTGGAGGGTAGTAGCTGCCCAAGATAGGGCAGAAGCTGAACTCACTGCTCAATACAGGTCCAAAGCCAAATTCACAGACTGAGATAAGGCCAGAGATGAAGTCATAGACCAAGATAGGGCTGTAGTACATGTGACCACAGCAGGGATCAGTGCCAAAATTGTGGCTCCAAGATGGTGCTGGAGTAGATGCCATGTTGTGAGCAGAGGCTGGAGCTGAAATCATGGCCCAAGATGGGTCTGGAGCTGAAGCTGAAAGCCAATGTGAGATGAGCCAAAGTCACAGCTCAGTCGGGGGGCAGATATACAATATGCCAGTATGCAGTTG